ATGATCGAATTTTTTGTAATCCATGATAGAATTTTCTGTAATCTATGATCGACTTTTTTGTAATCCATGATCGAAATGTTTGTTTTTTTTCTTATAATTCATGATCGAATTTTTTTTTTTTTTTTTTGTAACCCATGATTGAATTTTTTCTAATCCATGATCGAATTGTTTTTTCTGTTTTTGTAATCCACGATCGAATTTTTTGTTTTTTATGTTTTTTTCTATTTGTAATCCATGATCGAATTTTATGTAATCCATGATCGAATTTTATGTAATCCATGATCGAATTTTATGTAAAGCATGATCGAATTTTTTGTAATCCATGATCGAATTTTTTGTAATCCATGATAGAACTTTTTGTAATCCATGATTGAATTTTTTGAAAATTTGTGATTTTTTTTTTTAATCCATGATCGAATTTTTTTTTCTAATCCATGATCAAATTTTTTGAAAATTTGTGATTTATTTTTTTTAATCCATGATTGAACTTTTTGAAAATTTGTTCATTTTTTTTTTTAATCCATGATCGAATTTTTTTTTGTAATCCATGATCGAATTTTTTGAAAATTTGCTGTACTTTTTTTTTTTACTTCTTTTTATCCATGATCAATTTTTTTGAAAAATGATGATTTTTCGAAAAGATGTAAAAATCGTGATAAGGTTTTGATTATCATGATGTATTAAACCCAAATTTTAATTTTTATTGTTTGAGTTTGCTGTAATTTTTTTTTTTTTTTTCCATGATCGAATTTTTTGAAAAATGGTGATTTTCCGAAAAGATGTGAAAAACGTGACAAGGTTTTAATTATCATGAGGTATTAAACCATATTTTAAATTTTTATTGTTAAAGTTTTTGTTGAAAAAATTGTATGTTGATGGATTATTTATGCAAAAAAATGCATGTTATTATATTTTTAATGCAAAACTGTATTTTTTTTATCTGTTGTTCATGGATTTTTTAGTTGGAATGACTGATGTTAGCTGGCTTTGTGAAGAATTCTTTTTATTATTAATTTTTTAATGCAAAAAATGTATGTTCTTGATAATTGAGTTTGTAGCCATGTTTGGAGCTTGCATTTTGTATTATATTATTTTGAATGTTTGTAATTGATATGTACGAAAATATTATTGTCAATAAAGGTATTTTGCAATAACAAATAACAACAAATATGACTACATGAACAACCGCAACATATTATCACTACACATGGTGATTATTTTTCTTTTTGAACTGTCAGGTTAATTTTATACTTTTTACATCTTAAAACAGTTGAATCATGTCAAGATCTGCAGAAGACCCTGCATGGCAACATGGGGTCAGACTTGATCCCAACAAAAAAGACAAAATTATCTGTAATTACTGTCAAAGAGTGATAAGTAGTGGGGTACATAGGTTCAAGCAACACTTGGCAGGGGTTAAGGGAGAAGTTTCTGCATGCACTAGTGTCCCTAGTAATGTAAAAAAACAGATGACGGCAATTCTTAATGCTAACAAAGGTAAAAAAATTGCCAAACATAGGATGAATGAGGAGATAGCTAGTTTATATACACCATCAAGCAGGAATAATACAGAAGAGCAATATAATAATGACCTAGAAGAGCAATATAATAATGAGCTGGACATGGCCACAAGATTGAGTTTACATGAACAATATAAGAGGGAACGTGGGTTTAGAATGCCCGGTGGGTCTAGCTCAGACATGCATGGTGGGCCTAGCTCAGATATGCATGGTGGGCCTAGTTCAGATATGCATGGCGGGCCCAGCTCGAGCATGTATGGCGGGCCCAGCTCAAATATGTATGGAGGGGTTGGTGGCAATATGTATCAAGGAGAATCAGTTGTTGAAGAAATTGTTTCTAAGTTACCTAGGAGTGCCAGTATTGCAGGTCATAGTCGTAAAGACCCATTTCTCTCAAAGCCTAAGTCACAACAGATGACCCTAAAAGGCATGGTTAAAGGTACAAGAAACATGTTAGGGAGATATGTTGGTAAATAGTTTTATGATAAAGGGATTCCCTTTGATGCAGCCAATAGCCCATATTTTCCACCTATGGTCAGTGCAATCCAGAGAGTCGGGCCCGAGGTAAAACCCCCGACGGCATATGAGCTCAGTAGGCCAATATTAGATGAAGAGGTGGAGGAAGTTAAAAAGTGGATTGAAGAATATAAACAGAGTTGGCTAAGGACAAACATTACTCTCATGAGTGATGATTGGTTGAATAAAGTTAGCAAAAAGGAGTTTTTAAACTTCTTGGCCTATTCTCCAAAAGGTACAACTTTTTTGTCTAGCAAAGACGTATCAGGGACGAAGAAGGATGCAAACTTCTACGTACGACTATATGATCAGATAGTGGAGGAGGTGGGAGATAAGCATGTAGTCCAGTTTATTACGGACAATGCACGTGCATGTGTTTCTGCGGGCAGCAAGTTGATGGATAAGAGGAAGCATCTATTATGGACCCCGTGTGCTACACACAACATCGATATTATGTTAGAAGAGATCGGTGAGATCAAAATTGTGAAGGAGATTCTAGATGAAGCAAGGTTGGTGTCGAGATTTATATACAATTACTCTAAAATTTTATTTCTGTTTAGAGAACACTCTAAGAAAAAAGAGATAATCAGGCCTGCCATAACCCGCTTTGCAACCGATTACTTACTTGTGGACTCCATTCGAGAATCTGAAGGTGCATTAAAGAGATTGTTTACTTGTGAAGAGTGGTTAAATGATCGCCTCTGGAAGTCCAGTACCGGTATAAAAGTGGATAACATAATATCAAATAGGCAGTTCTGGTCTCGATGTTCCAGTATTGTAGAGGCCACTGCCCCTTTGGTCACGGTGTTAAGAATGGTGGATGCTGACAAGAAAGCTACCATGGGTATCCTTTATGAAGGTATTGAGAGGGCGAAATCAGCTATTGGGGAGAAGTGTAATTTTGCTAGCAAAGTGATCGAGATTATAGAAAAGAGGTGGAACACCAAATTTGGACGTCCAATTCATTATGCTGGTAAATATATATTTATATCATTACAATGTTTCAGTTTAAATCATTTTTTTATGAAATTGTAAATGACATTTTTCTACTT